TACCGTATGAATAATTTTTGTATTTAAAACAAATTGATTCTCAAACTTTTTTCAAAGTAGATTTCTTTTCCTTTCCTCATTGAAAAAAAAAATTCGCAAAGCAATCCTATTCTAAGGATACTTTCTCTAATTGAATTAGTAAACAAATTATTATTCACATTTCAACTAATTAAGTCTTAAACATGGATAAATTATGGATAAAATATTTTAATCATTTTAATTTCGCAGGAAAAAGTAAGGACGCTTTTACTTAAGTTTGAACAATTTTAAAGAATGTAAATTTCCTTAAAATGTTTTTAAAACAATTTCTTCAAATTTTAATACTTTTAACATTTTATGAAAAAATACATACATTTTATACATAAGTAGAAAAAAAACTTAATCAATGTTACTAAACTGGATAAATATGGCACCTAAAGTTTCCCAAACTGTGTTTATCTAGTTTAAAGTTTGAAGCGCATGAAAAAATTGCTAAAACTTTCGTAGTACTAAATTAATGTTTAAAAGTAATCAGGCAGATTTTATCTTACTTAGCAAAAAAGTTCTTAGAAGTGAAAGTAAATAAATCATACATTATGCAAATAATTTTGCATAAAAAGTAAGTTTCAGTAAGAATTCTGGAAATTAATATAATGTTCCTGACCAAAAATAGTTTTCCTGGCAGGAGGCAACATAAATAACTAGAATTTATATTTTAAATGGTTAATCTCTCGACCAAAGTATTTTGACATATTTTTTCTTATAATTTATTTATTGTCTACTTTATTTTAGGAACGATAGTTCTAAAATAAACTAGGTCTAATAATAAATTATTGAAAAACACGCATTAAATAAAGTGAACAACAAAAATATTACGTTAAACACCTTCATTAATTTATCACATATTTTTTTACCGCCAGACTAAATATTAGTTTACTATAAAAGCATGCAAAAATCTTTAAAAATTTAATTACTGATAAAATAATCATATATTTTAACTTTTAGGACTAGGAATTAGGAATAGATTTTTTGCTAAATTGATATCGACATCAACTATTTAATAATTTCTTACAGAAAAAAATTTTAAACTGATCAATTAACGTAAATATCAAATCATTTAAAATACTTAACTGTTTAAAAAATCTCTTTCTTTTGTTTATGTTTGGTTATGTATTTTAAGATTTAGTTAAGTGAAAAAAAAGGCATTCCTGGGCAATAATTTGCAACAAAACTCGTTTTGGTGTTAAAAAGAATATTTACTTATTTATTTATTTAATAATTTTATTTAATCATTAGCTGATACATTTTATTTGCTAGATACAGTTTATTAAACCATCAGCTGAATATGGTTTCTTTCTTTCCGGGTGAATAAAGAAAATAATCAATAATTCGTTATTTGTTTGCACAAGCGAATCAACACTAATAATAAAGCTAAAGTAATTTGCAACTTTTTATTTATTTATTATTGTTTTCTGCCCTTCCCAGTGTTTTCACTTTATTATACTAATTAAAATTCGTTTTTACAGTACGTAATCAGAAGTACGTAATCAAAGTACGTCCATTGCATCAAAATACAGATTAATTATATTCAGTGTCATTTAAACTCTATTCAGTATATTACTTCATTTCAGTTTGGTTTTTACAAGGCCGATTCAAGAAAATTAAATATTAAAATAAAAAAAAGACTAACACTTTTCTTTATAACGTATTAGATTTGAGACTAAATGAAATGTAGAATAAAATACGCAGTCTAAAATAACAAATACTTCACTTTTTTAAAGAATTTAAGTTAGAAGAATTTAAGTTAGTTAGTTTCACGCTTTCGAAGAATTTAAGTTAGCTATATTACAGACTAGATAAATACTCATACTTTGTGCGAGATGCAAAAACAAAAATAATCAATAGATCGGTATTAATTATTACTACGAAATCATGCACTAAACTGAAAGAAATATGCCGACACAATTAATTTAGATAAATCAATTACAAATTCCTTTTATTTTATTATTTGGAAAAGAAAACATTTATATAAGTTTGTAAGTTTATTTCATTAAAATACATACTAATTTTATTCAGTATCATTTGGTATACCGCCATTGCTCAAGGTCAACTCTTAATAGTTAAAAATTTCTAGAGTCAAATTATTTTTTCCGATACATGTCATTTTTGGTGAGTCGTAAAAACCTTTTTCCATTATACCAATTGTAGATATCTTGACTTCAATTTTAGTTTAGTTACTACTTATTAAAAAACCACAATTACCATAATAGCAGTATTATTAAAAATAATTAAGCATATATGTAAAAATATTGCGAAAGCAATTTTTAAGCATTTTCCTAAATGAATAAGCACCTTTTCTCCATTAATTTACCTTTTTAATACAGAGCAGTATATTTTTTTCGAATTTATACCCATTACAAAATTAAGCCACATTGGTGTCAATGACTATCTGGAATTTTTTTTCAGTTCCCGTATACAAACGAATAAGTACCTTTATCCCATTAATTTGGATATTTAATACAAAACTTTTTTTTATTTCAATTTATACAAATTACCAAATTTTTTAATAGTAACGACACTATTATTTTCATACTAATTATTGGCGAACAACTAATATAGGTTTATGTTTCGAAGGCAGTGAAAAATCACCAAACTAGTTTAAGCCAATAAGGCTTAATTAAATAAATAAATACTCGTAGTACTCGCACCATTTTGTGTCTAATATAGGTACTGGAGTAATACATTTTTTACTACAATGTGAAATGGATCAGCACCATTCAATCACCATACTACAAATCCAGGGCTCTTAATATATACAAACCTTATTATTTTATTAATTGTTATGTATTCCGTTGGGGCTTCATACTATTATATTTTTCATAATATCAGTTAGTTCAACTTACTTAAATAGAAATTTAGCTATGTAATATCATTTAAAATTTTATATTCAGAATTTAACACAATTTAATTTTTTATGGCTTAATCGATAAGCTAAATTTCTTTTATTAACTATTGTTGAGTATCTATTAATTAAGTTTATGGAAATATAGAAGCATAGAAATAAAAATATAAGAACAAATATCGAAACATAGTTTATAGAAGCGTATATATCAAAATAAAAAACATGTGATTTAATAAACCTTTTAAAAACAGGATTCCAAGACGTCATCATTATATGTTGCGAACTTATTACCACTGATTTTACATGTGGTAACCTTACATAGAAAACGAAACATAAATAATTCCTACAAATGTTCGATAAACCTAATTTTTGATTGATAAGAATTATAAAAGCTTGCAAATCCCTCATGTTATAAGATATTCATCATATTCTTCAGGCAATTTTTTCTTAGGGATGTAGCCGGTGCACTGATAGCTGAGACAGTATTTAACTGCACAGTTAGATCCGACCTGCCTTCCAACGTATTCACAAAAAATTTGGTCCGGATCGATGGACGATCGCGAATTTGTATAAGGTGAACACAGATTTTGTTTGTTTGAAGCATTCATTCAAAAAATATTACTAATGATCATTTTTCGAATAAGATCTCTCTCTTTCATTCTCTCTCTCTCTCTCTCTCTCTCTCTCTCTCTCTCTCTATATATANATAATTATAATAAAAAAATAAATACAAGAAAACACTAAGAAAGTTAAGAATCTTTGATCTGGACTCCTCTATTTTTCTCTGAATTCATATTTTTCTGTATAAATCATAATTTTTAATTTATAATGTTACAACCAGTGTTTTTTTTAATTAAATGTCATCGCACTATATTCAAAAGAACTAAAATTATATGTACAGATTCCATATGAATTATAAGATAATCTAGATTACATTAAGATAAATAAGTAAACTAAATTCCCTTTTTTACAATTTATGTGAAAACGTTACATTATGACTTAATATAAGAATTAAATTATTCTTATTCAAATAAAATTATTTTTAGCTTTAGACTCAATTTTGAAACGCTGAGCAATTATTCTTTTGCAACTTGCAGTTATATAATAATAAAAAAAAGAAAAATAATCGAAATTCACTTCGGGTTGCAAAACTTAAATGAGTTATTACTTCTTTCAGACATGTTTGTTTATCTCCATATTTTCAAGAACGAAGAAACGGAATACGTTAGAAATGGCTTATCATTTATGCATATTAAAGCCCTAAAAATATTTATTATTTTAATTTTAAGTTCTACTAATTAATCGTAATTTATTCTTATTTGTACCATATTATCTTAAAATTATTCATAACGATCTTATAAATTAAAGGAATTTTATATCATATTTATTTTATTAGATCATAAGAGAAATTTCTGTAATTTAAACAGTCTCTTTTATTTGTTTAAACATTTTCCTCTGAATGGGAATATGAATTGAGATTTTTTTTTTGTAAAATTCTTCGTCAAAAGGAAATTTATTCATGAACTACTCAAGCATTCATTTATCCATGTAATTTACTAATGACTAATAAAATGGAAAGAGTGAATATTTCTAGAGGATAGAGATGAACAGATCATATTAAATTTATTGAAATTTTGCGACCGGCTTCCTTTTTAGACATTCGTTAACAATGTAGTGGCCAAAAATATAGTTTGATAAACTTTAAGAGGATTTTATATGGTTTTTATATGGTTTATATTTTATATGGTTTATCAATACGTGTTTGTGAAGTAAAATTCCAATAGTTATAATGTAAGATCTGTAAAAATTAAATCATCATTGCTAGTGAATTATACTGTGCATTTCATGATATCATTGCTGAGGATTAAAAAGGCAAAAAATAGTATTACCGTTTAATATCCTTTTATTTAAAAGGCAAACATTTTGTCAAGGAAATTAAATATTTTTCCGGTCTTTTTGATTTTAAATGTCTGAACAATTTACGAATTTCCAGTTCATTTAAATTGCTTTTTTAACCTAGCAATCGATGATTAAAACTTAATCAATGAATTTGAAAATATAACTAATAATTTTGCTTCTATTTGTTTTAATACTTTTGTGATAGTAAAAATTCTGCACATAATATAAAAAGTTTTTATTAGTATAGTATTTATTAAATATTTATCACAATTTTACATAATATTAGGAATCTTTCTTCAAAACAATGTCCAGTTTCTCTTTGCTTGGGCATTTTAAAAAACTTCCAGTGGTTCTTCTTTTAATGAATCCCTGAAAATATAATAAGTAATTCTGCAAAATAAGGTAATATTTTTGATTAAAAATAATAGGTAACTATCTTTTCAAAAACTGTACAGAAATACATATCTTTGCTACAAACTTTCTTATTTTTACATCTCCCATGCTATAAAGAAGAGAAGAGGAAATTATAAAAAAATTATTTAAGCTTTAATTTTCTAAAAGGTTTTAAACTTAGCATACATAAGCACATTCATTGTTCTCTGTTTAATTTGTTGTGTTGTATTTGTCTCCTATTTTTGTTTTTAAATTTAATTACCTCTTAATTTTAATTAAACAGTAATTAAAAGAGATTAATTTCAATTAATTTCAATTCTAACTGGTATCTTCATTTTAATTACTGCTTTTAAACTCAACAAAAATACAAATAAGAATAAAAAAAAAACATGCTAAGCAGCAATAATAATCGTATTTTAGGATGTATATTACTTTTCATGGTGTGTCAAACTAGGGAAAAAATCTCTCATTTATAGAGGTTACAACGTGAAAAATCCTATTTTCTTTAAATCAAAAACTGTGTAGATAAAGGAGCAAACAAATTATGCGAGAATATGAAAAAAATATATGGCAATAAGGTCGATGTAACCAGTATCACCAATTTTAGATTCCATGCGTTTTTTTAACTTTCTGCAGTTATCAACAACAAAAAAATAAGTAAAACAGTAAGGGTATTTTTAGAAAGCATGGTTTAGCAAATAAACAACATATTTTGTTCTTTTACTCTTGGAAGATATTTAGAAATCTCTACTAAATGTTTTAATTCTACTAAAAAACCAGCATGACATTTTGCCTGATTTTCAAAATATGATAATTGACAAAACGAGTGAGTAAAGAAATAACTCTTCAAGTATTTTATAATAGCTGCGATTATATGTTTTTTCTCCATTGAAATATCTTTATTTTCATTTGTAGATTTCTAAACTGAAGAGATTTTTTTAAAATTAAATTTGTTAGTTGATTGCGAAGTCAAATGTTATCAAGCATAATAATTATTAGACAATTTCTCTCGTAATTTCAGTATTATCAATCATAATAAACCATAATAAGTTATACTTACCCTCTTTATTCTTTCGAATAATATACCACTGAAAAATTTCAAAAATATATTCTGGCTTTTTAATCTTCTGACCTAAAATATATTAAGACATATTATAGGATGTTGGAAGATTGATTATATGGACTAGATTAAAAGCACTCATTAAAGGAAAGAATAACAATAAAGTAATTTTCAATTTATTTTAATACTCATTTTTCTCTAAATTATAGACTTTTTGACTGAAAATAAAGTGTATAAATGTTATATAAGCATTTGTTTTTTAAAGTAAATTCATAATAAACCAATATATAAAAACTCATTTGATTTTTCTTCCATGGAATCTAACCCCAGCGCTCGCTAAAAAGGATAAGAGGGACATCTGATTAAAGATTGTAAAATAAAAGAATATTTAGATATTAGAATATTTACAGTTATGTCTACAATACTAAGAGTCTTCTCTCCAAGTAGTACAGTTATAGATGTTTGCCTTTCGTTAACTTTGCTGTCTTTATTAATTTTTTTATTATATAAACTTAATAAAAAAAGTATATATGTCAGTTGCTACAGGCAATTATAGTTTATACGCACCATTTAATTTTTTTCCATATGAAGCATGAGATACTATGGTCCATTGGTTAAGGCTCTGAATATTTATCAAAACGGCTTGGTAAAATTATAAAGTGGGGTTTATTGTGATTCAATTTTAAACTTTCACCAAGACTTTGCGGTAAAACGTAGGAGTTACTAACGCTTTTAGTTAAAGGCCTGAAACGAGGAATTTTATTTAAGCAAATGACAAAATTATTTTTGAACTTTATTGAATTGAATTCAGTTGTTTTACAGGGAATTGTACCTTAGTTCAGCTTTCTCACATGGGATCTTATTTGTGAAATATTATAAATATTGCTTTGTTTATTATTATTACTATTATTATTTATTATTATTATCATTTATTACCATTTTTCATACTTATTTCCTAAATAATTATAAGAAAGTTCTGCTGATATAATCTTAGATCATACTTTATTTTGCTTTTTTTGACAGAGTTCATTTTCAATTAAAAAATTATTTTTTTAATTATTTTAAAACACGCTGTATACAATCAGTACTCTTCCCTTAAAGGAGGCCGTTAGTGATGGTTAGAATTTTTTCACTAAATTAAGCACAAAACATAATAATCAATCAATAATAATTGAATTGCTGTTCTTTATTTTTAATAATCTGATTAATTACGAGATGCGCGTGTCATTGCTTAGTATACATTTGTCCTGTATACTCTACATTAATGTTTTTTTAAGGTTAATATTCACTTCCCGGTATACTTTGGACTAATGTTTTTTAATATTTCTTTTTATTTCTTTTGTTTAAGGTTAAGTGCTATTGTGCGGTATACGTTTGCCTGCTATACCCAATACTGATTTTTTTAAAGTTAAGCGCGAATTTGCTCACCGGGCTTTTGGAACTGTTATTGCATCCCACTTTAACGGAACAGTGCTTAATATATCTGGAGAACGGAAAAATACCATTCCATCTAATCCCTCGTTTCGGGGTTTCATCAAAAAGCGTCAGTAACTTCAAGGTTTACCACAAAGGCTAGGTAAAAACCAGAAATGGAATCATATTAAGGCATACTCCAGATTTTATTAAAGCATACTTGTAAGTCTTAAATATTGTCGGTAAAACCTAGAATTTAGAGTTCGGGCTTTTACTGTAACAGATACCGAGCTTGTTAAAAAAAGTAAAGGTGTTCAGTATACAACTTCGATCAAATTCTGGCTATCGTGACATAGGTCACATAAATGTTGAACCTTAACCCTTTGAGCGTCAGTTCCTGCTTTTTCCAAACTTTAAACTGCAAGCTTTCCCGCATCAAAAAACCAATTCATCTCATATTATTCAATGAGAGAGTAGCGTGTAGCAGGAACATTGTAGTACAATTTTACCGATTGGTCTCAACGCCCGTGCATTAAATTGCCTCAATACCCTGGATCAAACGGGTTATTCTAGTATAATGAATAGTGAAACGTGCAGTTTTGAAAATACAAGATCGAACTTTATAGATGGTAAGAAATACTACAGTTTTTTTTCCTTCAATGAAACGATCTCTTACATTCAGTCATTATTATCAATTAAATTTTTCCATTAGATCAAAAAAGATGTGTTTCTTTATTTAATTAGTAAATTAATATTCGCATCATGATATTTTTTCAGAGGGTTTGATACGCCTACCAAAAAATTAATTCTTGATTTGTCCGTGTTATATTCAAGAACCCGTTCTACTGTGTGCAACATACACAGAGATGCACCATGTCGAAAAACAAACATTATATGAAATGAAAGCCTTTTCAATAATAAAAATAAATGATATATAATTATCTTCGGCCTATTTTCGTCTACTCATAAATCATGTAAATATATTTGTAAGTTACATATTTTGTGCCGTAGTGGTTCATGAGATAGATTTTACGCACTGGTTTGCACCGACACAATTTACGCTCTGGTTTCCACTGACAACAGTGCTGATGTAAAAATATCCTCAGTGGTAGATGCATCATTGGTTCCACTCACCATCAGGCTAATTGTGAGAGGTTTTTCTCTACATGTAACGCAAATGCCAGATTAGTTCCATCTAAAAGTTCACAATAATTTCAAATTTCTTCTAATACTTGTTTCAGAACTTCCCTTGTCTTTTGGATTGGGTTCAAAGTTACAAGGCTATGAAGTTGAACACTGGTAGTCGTAAATTTAGAATTGGGTTGGCTGTTCAAAGCCGGTTGTAAAATAAATAAATAAAAACAAAGTTAAACATTTTGGTCTGAATTCATAACAGATAAATTATTATCATTTTCCCTTAATCTAAGGAGCTATCCCTATACATTTATGGGCAATACAATACAAAAAAGTACAGATGAGCAAGCGCAATTTAAGAAAGAAATCGGTGGAACATATGAAAAATTATGCTTGCGAAATCTCTTGGCAGTATTTATTAAAGCACATCATTATAAGATATCAAAATGCAAAATCATTCTGAGATAAGTAATGTAAATGTTTTCTTTAAGAGCAGCACGCATGTATTTTATGAAACGATTACTTTATACTTTGTAAAACAAATTAATAATTTAAAAACGGGTATTAAACCACAAATTTACCTTTTGACATTTTGTGTATTCCTTTCACAAAACTCCCCTGATACATTACTGTTGTAGATACCTCGAAACGATAATGCTTTATGTCTCCCGACTTTATGATGTCCCGGACGCATTTGTTGCAGAGAATGGAGCAAAGATGGAACTGATATTGTAGACAGAAGCCATAAGAGCCTGCATCGGAGCAGCTTCCAAAATGATCTAAATAGAAAGATAAGCGGGCTTAAATTTTAATATAAGGCAGTAAATAAATATTTTATGAGCTTTTAAAACTTGTCCGGTGAATAAATTTTGGAGGAAAAAATAGACACACGCATAACATGTGAGTTTCTGGAAAATTGATTTCTTTTGAGAAGAGAATGTCTTTTATGTTCTTTATGGCATAAATATGAATATTTGATGAAGTAAGAAAGAGAAAATGTCGCCTCTGAGAATAATGAATCTAAATAAATTTTATGGGCGAATTTATTATAAAACATGGAATTCCAATAGTTAGATTATTTTAAACTAGTTGTAATATTGCGTGGAGCTGAGTATATTTTATAGGGACCCAAAAACCGATATTGCTTTTATACGTAAGAGCTTTTAATAAAAAAATATGTGTATTAGATACTTCAAAAAGTGAGAGTTTTAAGAAAACCCACATGAAATATTGATGGAGTTTTAAGTAATGCATTCATATTTTATCATCTAATCTAAATTTTTTTAATACTAATTTTATATCAGATAATTGAATGTAAGCCGATAATGTACCCATAAAAATTCCTCAATAAGTTTCTGTTAGTCGTTTAAATACTATTTTTGTTTTTCCACAGAACATATGTGAACTGAATAATATCGATTTGATATTTAAAACAAGACCCATTTTGTCAATGGGTAAAAAAGTTTGCCAGAACATTGATCAGGCTTGACACTTCTATCGAAGCAGGCACGTGACTGATGCCCCCAAGTTACTTATTTTTTTATATACATCTAGTTCATCTTTCCGGTTCATCTGAATGGACAATAGTTGAATATCTGCTCTTCGTACGGAAATAAAAGTTTAAAAAATCCATAAATCAGTGGTAATCAACATTACGAAATCATATATATGAGCTCTGAAAAGTTTAAAATATTTCAACTGTCAAAAAACATAATGAGTTTAGTGTAAAATAAATAAACTTGGATCAAGTAAAAGCAAAACATGACGTTCTACTAAAACCAAAACTATAAACTAAATTTAAAAATTAATTTGCGAATGCAAAGTAAAAATTACATTGTTGAAGTTAGGATAAATTCATCTGATTTTGTCAACAGTGCTAACCTGAATTAATAACCAAGATGGCTTTAATTTACGTTTAAAATAAAAATAAAAAAGAAATATTTACTTCACTCAAAGCAATCCAATGATTGACATCTTCATCAATATGAACTCGAAGTGTTTTAACTGGGCCTACAGTGGGTATTATAGAACCATCTGCAACACCCGAACTGTCTGAAAATCCACCAACCACCAAAAATCGATCAGAAGTGTTTGGATAAGGTATCAACTCTGGAATTTTCGGATTAACTGCTGGAAGAACTTGGACTGATGCATTGACTAAAATATCATCTGGATGCTCTGAGCAACCGCTTCGAAAGAAATATCTGCAATGAAATATTTATAAAATTTATTTTACTGTCAAAAACAGTAATACAAAATATTACCAATTATTTACCAAATATTTATGCGATTTATTTTACCGTCAAAAACAATGGCACAAAATATTACCAGTTAATTTTTTAAAATGAAAAGGAAAAAAATAGTAAAAAAAATAGCTTTTTCCCTGATAAACAGAAAAACAATTGTTTTTTAATCTTAGTTTTTTAATATTTTTTAAATGGCATTTATTTAGGCATATATGAAGTGCCGAATAAGTTATTTATGTATTGTTCCAATTTTGACATAGTTATTTTTCTGTTCTTTATTCAATTTCTAATTAAAAAAAATCAGACACAGAAATTTATACGGAAAGTAACGAGAGCAAAAGAAAATAAGAAAAATGCGGTTTGAAGGAAAATTCGTCAATTGTCCGAATAGATTTCGATGTCCTTATCCTCAATATATTCTTTTTTTTTCCCTCTTTTTTTTCACAATTCTAAAACTGCTTGTCAAAACTCAGGCACAGAAAGTCTTACATGCTTGATCAGAGCTTGCGTTCTCACAAAAAATTTTTCTGACAGTCTGAATATTATTAGAGAACAAATTAATAGGCAGAACGTTACGAAAGTATTGGCTTTTGTACTTTCAATTATGTTTTCAAAGCTTACCTTTATAAATTCAGATTTGGTAATTTATGAGATCAAGTTCTTTATCTGAACTATCCAGAAAGTTCTTCAAACTATCTTGAAACAATGCAGACCCGATTAATTGAATGCTTGTTATTCAGTTAGCTTAATCTTCTGAGTATGGTAACCATATTAATTAAATGACCATTAAGAAAGAACCAAGTTAATGACTTAATAACAGCTCATCAAGTTATAGATCAATCACCAACTTTTAGAATGTCTTGTGAATAGCTAGACTCCTAGACTCGATGGATTCGTGAAGTTGCCGTGGTCTGTTCATACTCAAAGTACAAATCTCTCTGACAGTAAGCAAGCAAGAGATGATACTGTGTTCCACATGATGCGAAATTATGATTATTTTTTCTTGACACATTTTTGAAACGGTCGGTCAATAATTGCATAATTATTTCCAGAGTGCTAGGCTACCGGCTAGGTTCTCCGTCAAATAAAAATTTTCGTTTGAATTTCGAAATGCTGTTAAGTTTGAATATAATCACCCCCCTTAACTATTGCTTTACATGAATAACTGATCGACAAAAGAAAGCTCTGACATTGTACTGGCTACATATACTTCATGCAATGCTACTTCTATATGCTACACAGTGGCTTTCATCATTCATGTGTAACCGAGTTACGATGAACAAAATAAATTAACAAATATGCTATAGAACAAGCATTTTTCTAAAACGTACAAGATGCAACGTTATGCATGTCTTTGCCTCTTTTCAATCATCAGAAAAGATACTTCATAAAAGAATATTGCTTTCGTTTCATTAAAGAAAATAATAGTGCGCAGAAATGGTAATTTTCAAATTATAATTTGAAAAATATGCATATTTAGAACTTTGAATCTTAGATTTAAAAGAAAAAAGTGGAATAAAACTAATAATTCTGTAGTGTTGAATGATATAAAACTGTCCACACAAAATTTATTCCTTATTAAAGTATTAGAAAGATTAATAATTTGCAATGATATAAAAGTACAACAGAAAATAAGAAAAACACTCCCTCACTTTCTACGTCTAATAACTAATCCGAAGAAGATACAAGTTTCTTGACAATTTGCAAGTTGGGATGCATATTTTCCTAATTAATTTATCTCTCCGAGATGACGATTACCGGTATTTCTTAATCCCATTTACAAAATTTATTGTGATTGATCATTTGGTAACCACAAATTCCAGAAAATGCTGCTGTCTACGACTTAAAAGATTAAGCCTCCACAAGACCACTATTACTGCTACAAAATGTGTTTTCATAATTGGATGATTTGGGATAACAAGTACTCTTGCTGAGTGGGAAATTCTCCGTAAAAGATTTTAAAAATCTCTTTTTACTCTCAGAGGATGGAACTCGCTTTTGCATAAATTTGTTGCATTTGATCCACTTAACTTGTCTCTTAAGTTTATGTTATATAGAAACGAAAGTAAGTAGAGATCAAAATATGTCGTGGAAGTCATTGTTGTGTAGATATTGTTCTTTAAAACTATATTTTCAGCTGAAACAATATGGAGTACAAATTTTTAGTAAAATTAATAAGATTAGTTATTTGTTATTTTTGGGAAAATAATAAAGAATATTTCAATTGCTAATTAGTATGTGTTTTTCATTTTTTTTAAATACACTGAGAAAAAATATGGTCAAATCTTCCAGAATATCATACATTTTACTGTGCTTTTTGCTCCATAGGAACAAAAAAAAATTTTCAATTTTTAACGAAATTCTTCGGTACTGAGTTTGGTAAAGTATACAATAAATTATAGTTTTATAATTTATGATAAATTTTGTTAAATGTGGTAAAATTTCGTAATTTTGTCATAATACCACAGAAGATGACATAAGAATTACTTATTTGGTTAAATTTACTATTCAGTTTTTCATTTTCTACTAAATGTGTAATAGTTTGGAAACAAAAATTTCCTGTAAACTATTACCACTGGAACAGAGAAATTATCAAATGAATGGTTTAAAAGCTGTAAATTTTGATTCTGTTAATCAAAATTATGTTGTTGTTTTTTGCCAGAAATGGTTATATACTACACAATAATAATTTAAACAGATTTTTTTTTCTGCGTACAATTGCGCGTTTATAGAATAGGGTAAGAACTATATGATAAGGGTAAGTACTATATGAAGTGAAAGTGAAAGCATGAACTATATGAAGGGTAAGAACTATTTGAAGTGAAGTAATATATCATAGAGTACAAGAAACATATGTAGATTTATATGCAAATGGTAATAAACTATCGCGTATGCGAACATTAACGTCAAAATAATATCTAAAAAATAATAAATATTGTATTTTGGTACAAATCAGAGAAACTGGCCAAAAAGATTAATAAAATAAAAAATTTACTTGTGAATTAATAATTGGAGCGTAACTTCGTTTAAACTTAAAGTTGCTTCATGCAGCATTACTCTCTTTTTTGGATTTTTGTGCATCATAGCATATTTCATTTATTTAACTGCACATACACTTTATTTTATACTACACATACTTTGGTTAAAAATATCCCTACTTTTATCGATTCTTTTATCGATTTTACTTTTTTGCAATTTATCGATCGTTACTTCATGTTTTGAAATTGTCAAAACAAAATTAACATTGAATTATTCTAAATTATCCGATTTCAACATTTTATACTAGTTTATCTAAAACAGTTTTGTGAAATATTGAATCGGTTAAAAGCAATGTAAGTTAAGAATGTAATCCTTTCAATAGGCAGGGAAAAGCCAATGAAAAGAATTTAAGTAAAAAAAAAGTGTCAGAATACTGAGTTCTTTAAACTGCCACATGCAGTCGAATGGTGTGTGGGTGATGGGTGATTATTCGGATCAAGATAAAACTGGACAACGGATAAGCTTCCTTACTTTCTGAGCTTTTGCTATAGATCATATAAAATAACCTAATAAATGCGTACATTGTTAATCCAGCTGCTCGGAATTGATGCCAAGAGAAAAAAAATACGCCTACAAGAAGATACTTGTAGAAACTCGTAGATATTATAGAAGAAACTTGTATATGACGAACAATGTTCGGTTAGATACTTATCAAATGTGGCCACCCACAACATCAATTTTCTGAATCCACCTAAACAACCACTGTTGCAAGTTCTTCGATAAATATCAAAGGAATTCAGAATTGCATGGAATTATTATTGACAAAAAAGTAAATAAATTCAAGATTTGTACTACACAAGCAAATTCTGTAATTCAGCAACTGTCTAGTTTCACGCTGCACTTATTTAAGACGTATGGTATCTGTGATTCGATCGGTCTTTAATTAGGTCTTTACTGTCTTATTATAAGGGTTGCAAAAATGAGAAAAGAAAAAAGTTCAATTAAATGAATACTTTTATTGCAAATCAAAAGAAATAGCTATGGGCGTTGTAAATTATTTATAAAACAGGTCTATGCCTTTTCTATCGAAAGATTGTGTTTGAAGAAATTCAGGACATCTTCATTCACTTCGTCGTCCAAATAAAACGTGTCCTCCATAATGCTCTCCTAAGTGGCCCAAAGATGTGGAAGTCTCAGATAAACAAATATGGACAATACGGGGAGTGTACCAACAGTTCCCAATGTAATATTTTTGAGATCGTCTGAGTTTCGAGGAAGATATTGTGATGGAAAAGCATCTATTGTTGAGTGAGAAAATCTAGAAGCTTGCTTTAAATTCTTATCCGTAATTTCATCAGAGTACTGCAGAAATGTGTTGAATTGGTTGTGCTTCCCTGTTGCAAAAAATGAATTGTTTTTTTCTATCTGGTCTCATCTATGTGTAGCATGACTTTATTTTCGATCACTTTCCTCTGCCACGAGCAAATTTCATTATCGAACGCCGTACGCGTTGACGCCTCCTAACGTATTTTATATCTCTGTTCACAGGAGCTGCTACAGCTGCAGTCATTCTAACGCAATTGCACGCGTCAACTTTTCATTACAGCAACCCTTATGCGTCAGCTTTATGACAGATACCAAAAGCGTTTTTTTTTCAACAGATTTAATAGAATAAATGCTTATTACATGTTTTTGTTTATTTTACTGTTCCTATTTTTTTGTGTTTATTTTAGGGTGTTCTATTTACCAAGCTCTTCAGACTCCCCTTATGTATAAAAACAACTATAAGTACATAAAAGAAGACGTTGTCAATTAGTTTGAAAACTGCTAATGCGTTTTGATAACAAAGGATAGTATTCATGTGTTTCACGTAATATAAAATTTTAGCTTATTTATTTGTGGGAAAAATAATAATTCCATTGATTTGTTTCTTAAAAAAAATGCTTTGATACTATGTTTTAAAAATCAAAATTCAAACT